AGAACATCTTTTAAAAAATATTAATTTAAATTTTTGTAATTGGGGACATGATAACAAATTGTTCATTTTCTAATGATTAAAGCAGTACCAACAATAACAGGCCATTTATTTTGAAAGGGGCAACCCCAGAATCCAATGATATGATTGTCATATCATTCTCTCAACTGCTAGACACAAAAGACAGCAACAGAATAATTTGGTTTTCATCATCAACAAAGAGCATCTGTATATAGAAATAAAGCTTTGGAACCATGCAGTTTTATGACAGATATATATTTAGGTTCTGCGTTTGGGGGGAAAAAAAGAGCTCTTTTTAAAGTTGGGTTCCTTTTAGGTCTTGTTACAGAGGTATTTTATTTTATTAAAGTAATATGATGTAGAAGATGACTAGTGAGGATTTTTGCAATACCTACAAATAGCTGTGGCTTATTTCATAGTGATACATTTTTTTTTTTCTTTTTAGGTATAGTACTATAATCAAGGATAGGTTCTATTTAAGAATAAAATTTCCCTGGAATAATCCTGCTTTGGAGTATTAAATGGGTAGTTCTCTTCCAGGCAAGGACAAGTGGAGAGGCTGGAAACTGTATGAATTAGTCAACTTAAACTTTTCCTCGGCTTAAAAACAGAGGTCCTATTTTGGACGCAAGTTATTCACATTCTGTTATATTGCATTCTCTAATTTTACTTATTTAAACACAGCCACTGTGTCACTGTGTTTAAGCTCCAGAGTGTAACCCAGTGGCTGTCAGCAGATATTACATGTCATCAATTAATTGGATATCTTTTGTGATGCTTCTAGATTCATTCCATTTTATAGATGATTTTTCCTGACTTAAAAATTACTATATTTCTATTGACCCTGTGAAAATATATTCTGGTGGCTTATAGATTCACAAGAACACAGGTTAAATTGGTAAAATATGTCGCTGATAAAGTTAAAGTTGGAATTCTTAAATACAGTATGAATGAATGCCACACTTTATATCAATTAAAATGCTGACCAGATGGTCAGACTGTTAGTTATATGGTTGACTTTAAGTGATATGGGCTGAAGGGGAAAAAAAAGAAATTTCTAACCAACTGGCCTTGAGCTATTGGACAACTAACTATAAGGCTTAGATTGCTTTCTAGCTTTGGCTTATTTTCCTGTCTCTGTAAGTGAGAACTATCAAAATGGGTAGCAATACTAATAGCAACTCTCTCAATCCCAGGATGGACTCCTTCTCTAGGGCAAGGGCAATAAGTCCCAAGACATGATGGATTCAAAGTATCTGTGGTGATCTATCCTTAAACCTTTCTAACCTTGACCTTTTCTAGGTCTGGAGGCAACAAAAAGTTAAATGGTGATCTGTAGGTGATGTGGGAGCTGAAATTGGTGGATATAGTCTGATCTAAACATTTTTTTCCAGCTCCAATGTATGTAAGATTTTGGCTGATTCTCTTCTGTTTAGTTAAAACAGCGGAAGGCCGATGTGGCACAGTGAAGCACTCTCTAATCTGGTAAAGTTAAGTCAGAAAACAGCTTCCACTGAACAAGTACCAGGTAAATAAAGCCATTTCTAAAGTGGTGCCAGAAGCATTTTTCCTTTGTTGAAGTGAATGAAATGTCCCGTGCTGGCCATACTTAAGTGTTAAATTAAATCAGTGGTTGCCAATTTGGTTTTGGGTTCTGGATCTAAACGGGGAAATAATGGTAAACATTAACAATTTGTCACTTAAATAGATATTAATTTGTGTGACTACTATATATCAATTGATGCAATCTAATTTTATCATAATGGGAATATCCATCTTGGAATTTACATGGCATTTTACTACTTGCAACCATTGGAAATAGAAAACTTTAGCAAGATATTTACCTCTGTGTGTGTGTATGTTTACAGTGAGGATTAATTTTAAAAGCAAATAACCTCTAGTGGTCTTGCTAAAAGATGAAGTACTTCTACTTTTGTTCAGTGCAATTAGCTGAAGTTGACCTGTTATCTGTTACCAGTGTACTTTGGTCAGCTGTAGCAAATTAGAAAGCCTCCACAGTAGCAAAGCAACATCATGCTTGAGTTAAGTCTTATAACAAACAAACAAAAAAACACCTCCCTCTCAAAGCCTTAGAAATAACTTCCTTGCTAACTTTTCCACTATTATCAGACTTCTTGTATTAAAAAAAAGCTCCAAGGATTGCTTTCATGGACTATGTACATAAGTGCAAAAGAGGTGTGTCTCACACATTCACACCCTAACTGAGACAATCAGTTAACTGCAGCATATGTCTCTTAAATACTGTTAAAGGGTCATTCCACAGTATCTTTATGCGTGATTTCATAAATGAATTAATTTCATAATATGTTTTCATCATTCTTTAATTCTCATTTGGATATATTTGTGTAAATATATAATTCCAGAAGAAAGACTTTTCATAGCTATAGTTATACTACTTGAATAATTTTGAATAAATGAAATTATGGTAAAAGTTCGGGTAATATATTATAAATATAATTGTGTTTTGAAGTCTAAATACTGTGGAATAACCCTACCACACAACAAATTCTATAAGCTATAAAGCTTGAATCTAGAATCCATGTGTTGTAAACTTTTTGATGAAAATGTCACACAAGGACACAAATTCAGCTTTCACATGGGAATTATAGAATAAAAAGAAAATCAACCATACCTGTTTTCTGAGATTTGAGATGTATCTTCTATCTGTGCATATTGTCAAAAACCATGTATAGTTTACAAGTAAAATTTTCACCAAAAAATAAGTGTATTAAGGTAGCCATGTTGTAGTTTTATTGCTAAAGCAACAACTAAATATAATTAGTTAAAATTATTATTTGCATATAAAGTTAAGTTTGTTCTTAAACTGTGAACTGTGAAGAATAGTTATGGATTATAACCTATATCTTGTCATGTTTCAGTGTCAGTTTAGAACCTATCTAGGTGGGTTGAATACACATAATAAAATTTTACTTTCTCTAAATCTCCTTTGAAAGTAAATTCATTAGTTGCTTAGAGATATAAAAAGTAATAAAATCAAAAATTTAAAAACTAACAAGGAAAATGAAAACATAGCACCAATTAGTGAGTTGGTGCTGATAACCTTAATTTTTAATTATATTTACAGTTTGATTAGACTACCAACTAAATTTGCAAAAGAAGTTACTCTTTTACATACTATTCATTCTATTGCCTTTGTCAAGCACTGGTAAAATTAAAATTAGGCCACTATCTTTCTAAATATATTCAAAAGAATGGGGAAATCATATTTCCATATTTCTATTTCAATGTTTGTGAAAGGTAGAAAAGAATAAAAAAGGGGATTCCAATTTCTAATCATTCTGTGCCTAGCAGCCTACCCTACAGATTAAAATAAGTCAGCAATCTTGTGGTTGCGTTTTGCCTAAGAGCTTCCTCATCTACACGCTCCAAAGGAGGGGGAACAAATAATGTTCCAAGTGGCATAGGGACCTTCCTTACATATTATTTAATAAAATTTAAAGCCAATGTTGTCTTTATTCAGACATTATTATGGCAACTGGTCACGCCATTAAACAGATTCA